ATGTGTTTTGTCTCACTGACAGTTCAGTTATCAATATGCCTTCATCTCATTTAACTGTATAAATGAAGCATAACATTGACTTAAACTTTGTTTTCAATATAAAACAGACAGTAGCCTTGTGTCACGTCTGCCAAACACTTTCTAGACTTCGATTTCATTAATGCAAATTCCGTTTTTAGATGAAAATGCTAAGCATTCAAAATGTTAACCCAAGTCTAACAAGGTTAGCTTGTCTTGATGGTGACAGTAAGGTCATGGATTACTCATAAGTCAGGTCACCAATATTCCTGCACAGAGACACACCCACAGAGGTTTTACGCAACCACAAAGGAAGCTTATCATTGACAAAATGAGCAGTTTTGTTAACTGGGATTTCATTTAGATAAGCAGATGGTGTGAAATAACTGGAAAAGGCAGACGTGAACCAGTGACACTTGCTGTTGTGCATAGTCAGCACCCAGAGACTCACACTGAGTCAGCGAAAACCACAATATTGTCCATGTTACAGTCGACTTGACCATAAACCTTAAGTATTTACTTTATCTCAGCAGTGAGTCAGTGCTGATGAATTACTATTACATGTGTGCAACAATGTGCTTTTTCCTAAAGCTTGATATCTACGATCTATGTGAAATGATGTTGAAGCAAAATAAAGTCTTTATCACTGTACCGTTCAATAACCATCAGATTTCCTTTTTTTCTTACTCAAAGATGTAAATGCAAAATACTTCTTCAGGTGGTCCCTTAAATGGTGAAATACAAGAAAGAGCCTTTGAACACTAATTTTGAAGCCTTTTCCGTTTTCCAACAGATTTTCATCATTTAGTACCACAGAAAAAAAAACTCCTGTTAAAAATCTGAATCCTAAAACTTATACAGTAAGAACTTATTACTCTGAAGGTAATACTAATGTCAACATAGTGAAGTAAACTCTTCATTACCTGACACCTCTGCAGGTATACCCGCCAACTTCTCACAGAGGATGTAGTCGTTGGGGTTGATGAACGGCAGCTGCTCCATCATGGACTGTTTAGGAATCAGGTAGAGGACTTCTGCAACTTCACCATCTTCGATTATCGACATGCGCCTGACAGAGTTCTTCCTCTTCACCCGATCCAGGACGACCATTTCACTGCTGCGACTGGAGCCGCAGATCTTGCCCAGGCTGCTGAGGTTCAGGAGGCTTGACACGCTCATGTTGTCGAGACTTTCAGCCAAACAGTTGAGGCTGCAGACTGACTCCAGGTTAGAAACCATAAAGCAAACCTGAGGAGCCTTCTGTTGAGAGTCAGGTATTAAGTTGCTCTCTGAGACTTTGTCATTGACTCAGCGTGTGTGTGTGTGTGTGTGTGTGTGTGTGTGCGTGTGTGTGTGTTGTCTAACAGGCAGAGACTAACTCCTACGACACAAGCTTAAGAAGATTAAGTGAGGTATATTTTTAGGGTTTATCTTCACAGTAAACAGAGGATCCGAGCTCTAGGAAGTCTCTATCAGGTAACCTTCTTCCCTCCTTTCCAGTGACTTTGACTTGACACAAGTATGTCACCAGTTGCGATGCATTCGTCCGGTAAGCTGGTGATTGGGAAACTCTTTTAAGAAGATTAGAAGCCGCCCCTGTATTGTATCATCCAGCTATGCATGGAGGTACAATCATTTTATTCAAAGCTTCAGAAAAAGGTCACCATGTCTGTACGAGTCAGATATTGTCCGTCTGGTCCTGGTTTGGATTATGATTGAATACAAGGACAGCTGGACAGAAAATAATTCATCTTCAAAAACCGCAGAACCTTATAACCGCCAGACTATAAAAAGAAATGAATAAAAAAAATCTGCTATTCACTCTGCAGTCTCTTGAAAACGCCACATTCGACCTGGCACAGCATCAGGGACACAAGGTTGGCATCCAGCTACTACACAAGCACTATTTGAGGACTGCAGCATTAGATCAATTTAGAAGCTGTGTAATCTGTGTTTCACTGAATTCCCGTGTCAAAAACTACTGAAAGGTTTACAGTACAGTGATTCTATTAGAAAACAAGAGGAAGTAGACTGAAAGCACATGCAAAATCGGTATACTTTCTATAAAAATGCATGTTTTAACCAACAGAAAGTGAAACATTTGACATTAAGCTTGACTCCCCATCCTCAGATCTAACTGGAATAAATCATCAAAGCCTGGAGAATTTGTAGAAAACACTATATTACATCAGTATGTGTTTTGCAAATAGAAGAATCTATGCTGTAACATCACAGGACTGGAAGTGAATATTGATACAAATAGTGAAAAAGCAAACGGATCATTTCACACAGACTGTTCTTCATTGTTGGACGAGTCACAAATGTAAAAACACGTCATTATTTAGGAGACACAGACTTAGAAGGATGAGAGAAAGCCTAAAAGAAGCAGCTCTTCTTTGCTGTGCTGCTATTTATCTGTAGCTATTTTAATGACAGCTACATTCTTGCAGTTGTTGACAGTATGATGGATGTGATATGAAGTACTGTTATCTTGAGAACCTCCCCCAGATACCCACACTGGCTTACGAAAGAGGTGTGAGTATCTACTTTTTATGATTCCACGAAAAGGAAAGGTGGCAATGGGAAAAATTAGAGGAGCTTTGATAAAGGTAAGTGACATAAACCCAACAGTGGTGGACTCACTAATCTGTGGTTACTACAAAAATTGTGGTTTAAGCGGTGCACACAAATGTGTGTTGAGCTCCACCTAGTGGCTGCTGTGTGCTTAACATGATGGGATGAGGGGGAGGAAGACTGAACTCCAAACTCACAATCATTCCCTCCATCATTCCCTTTCGTTTAGCTTTGCTTTCATTTTAGCTGCTAAATGCTTCAATGTGTTCACAAACTTGTTGCTAACCGTGTCTGTCTGCAGTTTGATGCTGTGTCGGTAGTGTCTTTAGTTTTTAGAGCTTTATGTGTTGAAAACATTTGCCTCCCACGGCCAAAAATACATTTCAGAGCGGGAATCAAAACAGTAAAGTTGTGAGCTAGACGGCTAAACAATAAGCTGGAAGTCACCATGAAAGGTCCAGAAAGTCGAGGAGACTCACAGATTTACAGCTCACTGTTTTATAAGAAAGAAAATCATTAAAAAAAAAAAAAAAAAAAAAAGGAAATATATTTTTCTGACATGCATTTTTTAAAGAAAAAAATTCTTGAGTTATAATCAATGCCCACACCGTCAATTATGGCAGTTAAGTCAATAGCTAAGTGAAAACAAAACTGATATAACGTGTTTAAGATCAAACAAAATTCCAACAGGTTACAAGGATAGAAGTTTTGCTGACATTTTGTTTTGTTTCCCTTTTTACCCGTATAATTAAAAAAAACTAATTAAAAGAAAACACCCTGCAATACTTACATTGTATTGTGAATATTTAGTGTAACATGTATGTACAATTAGGGTGCAAATACTGCTTAACTGGAATTTATTTTGACTCGGAGTCATCTGTAGCATCCCTGTAGCTACACAGTGAGGAGAAGTGATGTGGCTTTAGTGACATCTGAACAGTCTAAAAACCTGGTACACACAGTCGCTTCAGAAAGTATTCAGGCTCCTTATTTTTTTGCATACTTTACTGTGTTGTAGATGTTTGTTTTTGATTTTTAAAAAGACAATTATTCACAAATCAAAACTTGAAATCCCTCATCTACCAAAGTATTCAGACTGTTTGCTTGCAGATCTCCAAACTGTGCTCAGATGCTTCCTGTTAGTTTAAATAATCCACCAGTGGTTTAGAAAAGGCACATCCGTGTACATAAGATCCCGTGATTCACACTGAACCATGAAAGCTAAGTAACTCTCTGACGAGGCACAGATCAGGGGAGGCTACGAAACCATTTCTAAAACTTTGAGTGTCCCCAACTGTATATTTGACCTGAGAGGGTATTTGTTCATTTATTGACACAAAATCTAAGCTAAACAGGCAAAACAACACTGGAGTGGCTTTAGGACAATTCTCTGAGTGGCCCACCCAAAGTCCAGACTTGAACCTCTTTGAACATCTATAGAGAGACTTGAAGATGGCAGTTTATAGATGCTTCCTATGCAAGTCAAATTTGACAGAATCTGTCAGGAAAAAATGGATAAACTGCATAAATCCATATTTGCGAAGCCTATGCAGACGTATCCAAGAAGGAGGAAGGGGCTTCAACGGGGTACTAAATTAAGACTCTGAAAACTTGTGGTAATAAGAGATCTCAATTTTTGATTTTTAATTAAAAAAAAAAAAAAAATCTAAAATCCCATTATTGATTTTCCATCATCATTAACTGACCATTGATTGATGAAAAACAAACGCAACTGTACAAAAAGAGATGAAGTCTGAACTCTCTGAGGCGACTGCATATAAAATTGGCTAAAAAGAGAGCAATAATCCAACATGGGCAGAGTGTTAAGATTAAAAACTCATGAGTTGATAGAAGGAGACCTGACAGCATCATCATCATCCTCGTCATTCTGCTCTTCCTCTCCCGGGTTGAGCGGCTCTCGGTCTGAGTCTCTCGCTGCCGGCGCCGACCTCTTGGTTGTCTTGTTCAGGGTCCCGCCCTGCAGGAAAACAAATATTAACTGAGCAAACTGTTTTTTGTGTACAATGAGCTTGAAAAAACAGAATACGTGAGAGTTTTTGAAGCCGTCCACAGCGACGTCTGACCTGTCTGTGATCAACGACATTGAGCAGCACTGAGGTCACGATGCAGCTGATGGTGTTGGCCAGCATGAAGATCATCATCCTCTGCCAACGCCACAACGGAATCTTAGTTTCACTGGATGAGAAACGAAGAAAGTGTTGCCATAAGTACAAATACAGCACAGAGAATCAGTGCACTGAAGCAATCTGAAGCATTTCCTACCTCGATTTGGTGCCTAATATCTGTCCAACAACTAGATTGGACACCCCGATCCCAATCATCTGTATGGAGGTGGCAAGGCCCATGGCTGTTCCCAGAGTGGCCTGAGGCACGACGAGGGGAATAGATGGCCACATGCTCGCCTGGAATAGACAGGAAAAGGTTTGATATGACACAGACTGAAAACAAGCAAAACTTCTAAGTTTCTATCATTTCATTACCACATTGAGACACTTTTGTAGAACAACATGAAATACAAATAGACACAACCTACTGCAGAAGTTATACGATCTAGCAAGGTCGATATGCAGGACTTTTTAAGTCATAGATACCCATCGTGTTAATACTGTGTATGATTGTTTGAACAGATGAACGTGAAACCTTCACACATCTGGAAATTGTACCACTGTCAGTCAAGATATCAGGAAGAGAATTGTGGATCGACTTCTTTAGAGGAAGCAGTGTGTCTAAGGTGTGCCTTAAAATACATCCACAGGTGTGCCTCCAATTAGCTCAAATGTTTTCAATAAACCTATCAAAAGCTTCCAACCCATGACATCATCACCAGGGCTTTCCCAAACAATCTGAAGGCATAGTGATCTTAGTGTATGTAAATTTTTGACTTTGAAGAAAGTAGTGAAAAAAATATCTAAAAAATGCTCTCTCTCATTATTCTGGCATTTAGCAAATAGAAATAATTTTGGGAATCCTAACTGACCTAAAACAGGAAAAGTTTAGTCACATTTAATGTCAGATAGTGAGAAAAAAAAGGTTCTATGTCTTTTTAGACAGTGTATGTATGTGGTTTCAACTGTATGTGTTAGAAGTAAAAGTGAGCTGGTTTCAGTCAAACTCACAGCAGCAAAGGAGTAGGTGACTCCCAGCCAGATGGTGGACACCAGAGGAGGGACAAAGGTGAAGGCCAGGAGTCCAAACACTGGCAGCGTGAAGATGGCACAGGCCAATGCAAAGACGCCCCGCAGACCCACGTAATCCTGAAATATACACAAGACAGCATCACAGGTTAAACTGGCTTAAATGTGTTTTCTTTGCACTCTTGCAGAATACTTCTGAACAGATCACAAACAAGATGCAGAGACTTACTATGAGAATGCCCACACTGGCTGAGAGGACCAGTGAGCTGTCATAAACGGCTCCCGCGATGTAGGCCGCCTCCTTCTGACTGTAGCCGTCGTATTTATCCTGAATGAATTTGCTGGACAGGAAAACAAGTGAAAGTAAGTAAAATGAAACTTGTTGCATTTATGCAGTAGGAGGACACTGATACCAGTTTGTTGATGTAAACAGAGTCAAAATGTATCGAAAGGAAATACTGGTTTCTGTTTTCAGATCAGCTGAATTTAGAATAGTGAAAAAGATCACAAGATAGAAAACTGGAATCAGGTAGGTGGGTAAAAATGAACTATGGTGCTTTTAATAAACAACTGAAGCCTTTTGAGATTGTTTTGATTGATAGTTTGCTCTACTTGTCAGTCTTGGAATACGTAGATAACACTACTATTATTAATTTATTAACTACATCATACATTTTTGACTATGAAATACTATTTACACTATGGCTCGTCTGAATAATTAATGGGTTTAATTCACTAAGAAATGTGCATCTATCTTGGCCAGTATGTCACTGTTAGTACATTATTTTCCATCTTGCATCAGTCCAGAGTCGTAACTAAACCTTGACTGACAAAGAAGATAATCATGTTTCAAAGTCAAGGAATGACATCACGTCTATTTATAATATTGTCTGGAAGTGGCTGCAAGCAAGACACATACAGACAGACATAACTTTACTGTTATTTTCTGACTTGGAACAGAAGGAGCACAAGTTTACCTGTTTGCTGATCTTGTAATTTAATTTTAGTGTGTCCCTTTTTTTCTACACAAGTAGAATCTATCTACACAATTCATGTGAATGATGTGTACAGTACTGGCCTTCAAGAGTCAATTTTTTAATTTGTGTCCATAACTCTACCTTGCATCTGCGATGAACGGGAAGATGCCGTTGTAGAAGAACATGATGGTGAGAACCAGCAGCCAGTATCTTAGCGACAGGAGCTTCACATCCTGAATTCTCTGCACACACAGAAACAAATAATGTAGCCCTCACAAACACTACAGAACAAACTGTGTACACATGACTACAATATTAATGTTTCCACTTTAAGAAAAGGTTGGCTACTTGATAATGAGGCTGGAATTGGATGCCTATTAAAGGATTCTGTTCGTACCACTTTGCGGGACTCTTCTTGGATGGCTCCATCAAGACCCAGCTGCCTCATTCCAATTTTGTCCAAGGCACTGACTATGATAGCAGAACTAAAGCCCAGCACACACAATAGTGCTCCTAGAAAACAGAGAAAAACATTCAGTGCTGGAAAAGAAACACCTGCTTCAACACTGCGCAAGACATTTCTGTCCCTTCTTAACCTACCACCCCAGAGCGTCCACTGCATGCCATAGTTTTCTTCAAACTTCTGGGTGAAGAAGAAGTTCAAGACTGAACCCAGACGAGAGAAGGCCAGCGTCAGACCGAAAGCCAAAGCCAGCTCCTTCCCTTTGAACCAGAAGGCTGTGATGCGGTTCTGAACAACTAATAAGGTGGCAAAAGAGAGAACGTTTAGGAACATTTCTCAGAGTTGACATCACAAGGAGTATACATGCATATATATATATATATATAGATATATATAGAAGGTGGCCTCACTGGTTAGCGATCCGTTGCCTGATCCAAACAACAGGCGGCCTGTGAGCATCAGAGGCAGCAGATAGGGAGTTCCTTTGAAGTGGGAACCCAGCGCGAACAGGGATGAGCCCAAAACACACAGAAAGGAGAACAGAAACACCCCGACTGCAAAAAGAAGCAAACATAAATCAATTTACCAGTTTCTGTCAGTTGTTTGCTTGAGCAGGTGTGCAACGCAGATATAAGCAGACTTACAGCGGTTTCCTAATTTGTCAATCAGGAATCCGGCCATGATCACCACCACTGCATTCCTGTTGATAAGAGAGAGAAGCACCAACTGTAGCTCTCGTCTGATTTATCAGCATTTGTACAGTGCAGTCAATGTGTGAATGTGCTTACGTCCAAGCGTAGATGGCATAGAGAAGATTGTACTGCTGAGGGCTCATCCCCAGTCCCTCCACACAGTCCACTGTCCCATTGATCACCGTTGCATTGGTACACGTCAGGTTCTGTCACATGAGGACAAACCAATGATGAAAGTTCTTCTCTATGTAGCCACAAATGCAGAACAGACTTTGGACTTTTAACACTAAACTACAACAATCATGTCAGTAGATGCAGAGAAATCACTGATCACTGACAGCATCTCTAAGCTGACCCTCTCTGTGGCCTCTCACTCACCCCTTGAAACTGATCCTGCAGAACACTGGGGATGTCGAAGCAGAAGTAGGAGCCAAACGTCAGCAGACAGTTAAAGAAGAGCACCACGAAGCGATAATACGCTGTAGCAAGAACAGAGAGAACAGCGTCAGGGATTGACAAACAATGTTAACACAAGTGAATATTTCAAGCTCAGGCTGCAGCAATTAATTGATTGGTTAAATTAATCAGTAACTACTTTGACAATTCATTAATCACTGTAAGTGATTTTCTAAGAAAAAAAAAGTCAAAATCCTTTGATTTCAGCTTGTTACATTAGAATATTTCCTGTTTTCTTTACTCTTTTATGACAATTAACTTAACGTATTTACGTTGTGAACAAAACAACACATCTGAGGTGTCATCTAGGACTTTGGGAATAGTTTGTATCATTTTCTGACACTTTATAAACAACTAATCAGTTAATTAAGAAAATAAACTGCAATTGTTAATTAACAATTAAAATAAAACTTATTTGCAGCCACATATCAGTTTATGTTCTTGTTGAAACTTCAATTGAATTTTATATTTACGCAATATCTTCTATCTCATATGAAAAATATCTGAGCACTTGAATGGAAACTCTTCTATGTGTCTCTTGTTAATGCTTGGCTTTAACAAAGTGTTTATGAAAATCCAAATTCACTATAAAGCTTTAAATGTCCCTTGCAGATATGCTTTACAATATAAAAATACTTTCAGTAATAAAGCTGCAACTAGAGATTATTTTCACTTTTGATTATATTCTTAATTAATCAGTAATTAGTGGTTTAGTAGAAAATTATGAATAATCATGATCAGTGTTTTCCAAAGGACAAGATGAATTCTTCAAATGTTTTGTTTTGTCCACAACCGGAAAAATATTTAACCAGAAAAAAAAGCTAATTGAAGAAAAAATTAGACAATCAGAGAATTTGACTTCATTTTTTCTTTCAATATTACTCAAATTGATTAATGTCTTATGAAAATAGTGCGCAATTAATTTATTGGTTGGCAGCTAACTGATAAATCACTGAAGCTCTTCTCAATAATAACTCAGATAACACTGTCATAATTAAATTGAATTTAATCATTAGTACTCTACACGGCAAAGGCAACAAATCCAGTAAGAAAACTTCAATTTCTGAGTGTTGGGAGGTTTAAAGAAAATATTTCTTTTAACTCAGTTCAGTGGAAAATTTCGTGTTGACCTCAAATACAAAAACACACAAAACAGCTGAATGAGCTCAGAGCTGGTGAACGACTAAGCGAAATAAAAGAGAGCATTTTCTTTGTAATAAATCTGACAAATCATTAAACAACTTCCCTCCTCGGTCACATGAGCTTTTTTAACGACTCTTAAAGCACAAACTGCTGAGTTGGTCCTTCGGTGGCCCCATTTTCAGGGAAGTGTGTTGTCTGGAGGTCTGTTAGCTTAGCGAAACGTTGTTTTTGAGAAATAGTACAACTGTGAGACGTACCTTTCTCTGCCGGCTGCACCATGGTCAGGAATAAAGTGCTAGCTGTAAAGTGAAACGTCCAAATCACATCCTTTGCTGTTGTTTACATGAGCAGACGGCTGTAGCAGGTTAGCAGGGTACGTTCAGCTGCCTACAACTGTGCTGGCTCCCACCAGACCGCTGCTCTTAAAGCTACATGGATGAGCCCGTCGCCATAGCGATGTATACGTCATGACGCAGCGCGCAGTTTGGAGATCTGCGCAGGAATTGTACTTCCTGAAAACTTTATTGACAACTTTTCTGTCTTTCAACAATACGTTAATTATTAATTTTACACAGCTGTGTATATTTATATAGAACATTATGTGGAAAAATATCCAGCAGAACACAACAACAATATTTTGTCAACAGAAAATTATCTTTGTATTCTCAAGTGTTTTAAAGAACATACACTTTTGTTGTTTTTATGACATTTTAAAGACCATATAAAGTCTGGAAGCAAAATATAACTGTAGCCGTTCTTTCAATAAATCAACACATTTAAGAACTTTTATCAAATCATCAAATATATTATCTTTGGGGTTATTTTAATAGTCTAAATACACAATGTAGTGCCAGCAAAAGAAAAATTTATATTGTGTGGGCAGTCTGCATGCTCAGACTGCACAATCAATACATTTAAAATCAAAGTTGCGTTCGAAACAATTCAAATAGCAAATCGCAAAAGGTTGAAATTTAGGATACGCATTATGCAGCACATTGGACTCATGTTTAAAATTCACGTGTTAAATGTTTTACAAATTCACGCCATCCACCTTGTGTGACTTTTGTGCTTTCAGTGCTTCATCACATGTTTTAAATCCATTACACAGTAAATGTTGAAGTGAAGATTGGCTTTAAAAATGCATGTCAGGAATAAAATTACAATATCGATCAGAGAAATCTAAATTAGACATTGTTCCCAAATATTTCAGCCTGAGCACATCTTCCATTTTTTTGTACTAACTGAACTTGAATGACATTTTTCAGTTAAAGTAGAAAATGTTCTGCTTGTGTTTACATATAGTCAAAGTTCAACTTACACCCATGCACGCAAACTCTGGAATATAAAAAATGGTATCACGCATAAAAAATTAATTTGCCGATCAAATCCTTCTGTCAACATTTAAGTGAGATTTCACTTAATATAAATGCTCAATAATAAAAAACTATGGAGGAAAAAATATCCTAACAGTCACAATAGTATCAACCAAAGGCATCAAAATAGCAATTATAAGTTGCGATTGTTTGATTACTTTAGTCTGACTCTGTAGCTTCATTAGAAACCTCAATATTTGATCATTGCACATTATAAGTAGAAAAGGCCTGTAACAGACCACCCCTCCATTCACCTAAAGGTGCTCTTGGACAAAACTGTGATTGAACTACTGATAAAACTCTAATTAAATCACTGACAAAACACAAAGTCAATCATTGATGAAACGCTGACTCAGTCACTTTTCTGGAGGTCTAACAATACCTGCATTTCCTGAGGAGATCGATGAGAAGGTGGAGAGGATTTGGGGTGATCTTCTCCAACTTCTGATCCATCGAGAGCATCTTCACCAGCTGGATCTCTTGAGGTACAGTAACTGGACATGAGCAGATCAGGTAAACAGTGCAGCAGGTCACCAGAGTAACCCAGCAAATCACTGGTACCCAGCTTCAATCCATAAAAAGACATTCAACATAAACACGGCCTATGCAGAGATCCCAGAATTAGCAGAGAACCACCTTCTCAAACTGTGGACTGTTCTGTCTCCTGCCCTGTGGGAGGCGCTGCAGGAGCGTCACAGTTTGCACGACCAGGCTCAGAAACAGCTTCTTCCTCCAAGCTGTCATCCACCTGTTGACTTCCAGGGATGTCTGTCTTTGCAATAATGACATATTTACATACCATAGAAGCCTATATGATACTATAACTAAAGGGCAATTTACATTTGAAAATGAGAATGAAACTTTACTACAGCATTATGATTCCCCCAAATATGTATGTTTTATTTAAGCAAAAAATGAAAAGGTAAATGTATTAAATCCATTTGCACTTTTATTTTCACATACCTGCATGGGCGTGCTGTGATCACATTAAAATAAAAATGAAAAAGGCATTTGACAGTTCATTTTATTGTCAAAGACTAAACCTGCTGTACAGTTGACAATATTCAAGTGCAAAATGCTTTTTCTGAGAGCAAAGGTGAACAAGAAAATTACGTTTTACCTGATGAGAGTGCTGACAGATATCATTTCACTTCAATTGTTCCTTTTTTTTTTTTAATTAAATGACAAACGCTATTGCTGTTATCATTTTTAAATTGTTAGAAATCTGCATTTTAATTATAAATTTGACACCAAGATAGGATGGTGACGTGTAAAAGTAGATGAAAGAGATTGATTGCTTGTTGAATTTAATTATGGTTCACTGTACAGCAGGTTTAGTCGTTGACAAATAAATGTCAAATGTCCATTTAATTTTTCTTTTAACATGGCCACAGAAACATGAAAATAAAAAATGGAAATTGAATAGAATCATTTTGATGTTACACCAATAACACATACATGTGTGGCAAATTATGATGCTGTTTTTAAATTTAAGTGATCATGTAAATAAAGTCTGCAGGAGGCTTCCACACAATACTTTTGCAGAACAGAGTATTCTCCATAGCCTGTATGATGCTGCTTCATTCATAAAAATTGTTTTTCTTGTCTTGTGCTTGTATTTATATTTGTGTCTTCATCTTGATGTATGAAGATGTAACTCTCCTCTTGTACTAATGATAACACATTTGAACTGAACTGATCAGTGACTTTGCACTGAGATTTAATCCATTTATAAACAGCAGTTGTGTCAGCTGGTCTGTCGTCCACCTGGCGACAGCTGCTGTGTCTCTCTGCCTTCTGCTGCGTCTCACAACAGACATCTAATCTGCTCTTAGGTTGGGTTCATAACATAAAGGGGATTTAAAGGGTTCTGGCCTGGAAAAATGGGATTATATCATGCGCGTTTTGGCTGGTTTGTCCCTCAGCGGACACCGTACAAACATTGCTGCTCCACTCTGAGCCTTTAAGGTTTGAGTGTTTTTATAAATCCTGCTCTGATGGGTTTTGGTTGAGCGTCAAACATGTGAAATGTCTTTGCTGCGAAGAGCTAAAACGTGGGAAATATCGGACTCTGAAGGCAGCGACGCTGAAACTAAACCCGATTTAAACCCCGAGGTGGCGACAGAGACAAAGGAGGACCAGAGTTCAGGAGACCAGAACAGAAGTGTCCTGCCGGCAGCAGCTGGGAGGCAGTCTGCTCCAAGTCTGAGTCCTCCGAGACCTCAAGGATCCGGAACACCGAGTCCGACGAGAAAACGGCGCACAAAGGAGGAGATAGAAGCGGACAGACAGAAAGCCAAGGAAAGAAAGGAGGAGAGGGAGAGACAGAGAGCAGCCAGGGTCCAGGAGAAGGAGGAGAGGAGAGAAGCTGCCGAGAGGCTCAAGAGTCTACGGCCGGAAAACTGCCTCAAGTGTCTGACGGTCCGCCTGGATCCAGGTATCCTGTGCTGCCTTCAGGGGCAGTGGGAACTTTAGCCTTCAGTCCTCTGTACAGGGACAACTGGTCCACAACTTTGGATCAGTTGGATTTCAAAAAGAAAAACAAATATGCTGATGCTATACCACAGATATTGCAGTACGACAACAAGATGATAAAAGGGCTGCTGATTAAATGTAAATATTTAATTACATATTTAACTTTTAATTAGAAGGAATCCTAACAGTGGTGGCAGTGGTGTCATTAGGCAGCACACTGTTTAAAAAATAAATAAATAAAAATAATCAAGCAGCAAAGACACAAAATCGTTTGTTAAAAATGTTCTGATGAGCAAAAACTGTAAAAACAATTAAAATACCAAAATACCTTTGCAAAATAGTGATATTTTATCTCATTTAAATACAGTAGAACATGGAAATTCTACAGTCACATTTTGTAAAAGAATTAATTACTATTTGTAAAAAAAAAAAAAGAAAAAAAAAGAAAGATAGTATCTGTAATTTGACAAAAAATTGGGAAATAACCTTAAAAATTTTCTGTCCTTTATATGCAAATATTTATCAAATATCTGTAAAATACTAATGTTTTTTTGGCTAATTCAACTACAGTAAAAATAGTTAAATATTCCAGTCAGACACTGTAAAAGATCTTTTTTTTTTCTATAAAAGTACAGATATTTGATGTTTATATAATACAGGACTGATGTACTGGGATGCTAACAAGGGGCTTAAAACATAAACAATAACTGGCGAATAATTGATTTAAATTTTTTGGCTTTTAGTTTAGATTTTAAAATCAAACAACAGCCCACAAAAATACTTTTGCAGCTGCACACTTGGGTTTATTTTGCTCCTCAGATCAACAGCATGACTCCATGTCCGATTGTATTAATGGCCTAGAAACCTCAAAGTAACATTTTCCACCTAAATGCATCATCTGTCACATTTATGACTTCTGCAATGATGAAAATAGGCTGAAACAATGTATGGGCAAACACAAATGTGTTCATCTACAAGCTGTTCTGTGCTTTTCCGCAGCTCTTCTGCAGCAGGATGGCTCAGACATCTTGCTGGACACCTTGGCTGCCTTTGAGTGGAGGTTTAGTATTGAGAGTCAGCAGCTTTCTCACAGCATCACCTGGACCAGAGACTTACCTCAGGTAAGCAGGTCAAGCCTCTGAAATACAGACCAACCTGATTTAGGTGCACGTCTGCTTTCTTCCATGTGTCACCAGCATCTGGAAAATAAATACAGTTAACATCTCTGGACCTTTTACTTTTATATGTGGAGGATGTAGGATGAGATGTCTGGATTCATTTAGACTGCATTTAATTTGCTGCACTTCTCCTGACAGATCCTCATTTTTTCCACTGAATCGTTACTGCTTTGACTTTAGCAGGGAGAAGATGTGTCTGTGGAGGAGGAGCAGGTGGTTCTGGTCCTGGGTTTGGCTGACTTCATGGACATGGTGATCTCTGTGAAAAGAGTAAGCTTTTTTATAAACTGAGTTGTTATTTGTACATTGTGGTACTTTCCCTACTAAGATCTGAGTATTTTTTTTCCACCACTGTGCACTGCAGATGCTAGACAGCGAAGGGGAGGAGACGGAGAGGGGGTCTTTCCTGAGTCCCCTTTTGGAGTGTCTGAACCGTGATGCCCAGAAGGTGGTCACTCTGTTAGTGATCGAGTCAAATTACAGGTCAGTGTATCCGTCTGGGGCCGATTATGGGCAGAGAGTTCATTCTTTCATCACTTACTTCATCATTTTAATTCTTTATTCTGTGTAGTGATACAACACTCATTGCCTGGTGGGTTTCATTTAAACATTATGTTCTAACAGACTGGTTTACCAACAGCATAAATGCTTGTGGTGAGCATCCACGAGATGAGATGCTTCAATCCAAGTTAGGGATGAAGAATGTGGACATTGAGGAGGTCAGTTTACTTTGATTCTCTTCCTTTCTGAAAATAGTAGTCATACAGCAAAGACTCATGGTTTTATATAGAAGGACTAAACATCACACTAACACAGGAGGGTTCTATGTGGGCAGCACATCATTTATCAAAAAGTTTAAAGATATGGGAGGACATTGTTGTTTTTGTTTGTTTTGACATTATTTTAAAAGTTAAAAACTTCAACCACAACAACAAGCTTGGAGACAGTGTGGAGCATGGATGCTAATCGAGTATTTTAAGATAATGTATTCCTAACATTGAGGAAGGTACGAAATCCATAAAGATATCAGAGTACTTGGTGACATAAAAAAGGATGCCGTCGGCAAAAATCCATATCCTATGATTTTATATAAGTTCCTCTAAAAATGTCTTTCAAGTAGCTCCACACTGTTGCTTTACATGAATATGCAGACCTCCTCACTCGCTGCAGGTCGAGCACACCAGCTCACCACCAAATAAGTTCAAACACTGTAAAACTTCTCTGCGCTACACAATGGCAACTTGTAATGTGAAGTTATTCAGCCATACATGTTTGAGTTTGTGTTTTTCATGCTGTCATTGACTCAAGGTGGAAATGATCAGCGGTGGCACTGACTGCTTATTTTGCTCACAGTTTATAACATTACAACATTAAAACATAACCATTAAGGGAGAAAACTTGATTTTCACCAGAGGCGATCTTTAACGTTTTAACTGCTGTCCTTCCAGGTCCTTGTGTACCTGCAGCTCTGCAAAAATATCTCACTGGTCTTCTTGGATGGCTGGCAGGACGTCACTGATCATGTTTGTGCCGTCACCAAGGCCTTGTCGAAACGCCCTTTCAAGTATGTGTCACAGACCACCTCCATTATCCTTTAAAGCCACTATTCTCTACTTGCTTTCTAACTTTAACCCTTTATGAGCCAAGTGACCATATTTGGTAACTTCCTTGGATGTTCAGTGTGTCCACCCTGTGCCTCTCCTTGAGGTTGAAGAACCATGTGGGCTTTGATTTAATTTTTATGCTTGTGCCAATGTCACTACCTTATGAAAAATGTCACCACACAAATGTTCCAGACACTTTATAAACGCTTTGTTACTGGTTTGAATTGAACTCCACTTTGATTTATCGTTTGAGATCAGTGCCACTAATACCACTACCCCAAGAAAAATGTTACTGAATGAACTCACCAAGCACTTTATAAATACTGTGTTACTGGTTGTGTGTCATTACCTCAAACTAAAATGTTTCTAAATAAATGTTTTTTGCAGTTTGTTACTTTTTATTTATTATAAATTTTCTTTTTAAAACTGTAGACGGGCAAGTTACCATATATGGTAGATTTATTAATCTTGATTTGCCACATTTATTTATGTATTTTTTTTAAGTCACAAAAGTAAAAATATCTTGAATTATGCTTCAGTAACACCCTAGAGTTGAAATTGTCATTTTCAAAGTATTTCAAGGAGTGCCCTATAAAGGGTTAAACCAGACAAACTAGTACCTGACTGCTTTCCCTCACCGTAGACTCCTGACAGAGCGAGCAGAGCTACCTTTCTGCGTGGACGGTTCGTGGGCCAGTGGGGTTCGGGTCGAGAGGGACGGCTCGGGGCTGGTTGAGGTCTGGAGCAAACAGATCCAGCAGCTGAACAGAGTGAGCCCTGCTGTGGCCTCCGCTGTGACCGCGTCCTACCCGTCTCCTCAGCTGCTGCTGCAGGTAGATCTGAGCGCACCTTTAGCAGAGCAGGATGATTTATAAGAACGACTGTTACATTTTGTTGTCGGTTTCAGGCTTACCAGAGCTTGGCGTCGGAGGAGGAGAGGAAGGGGCTGCTGGCTGGTCTCTTAGTGAAAAGCGGAGGCAAAGAAAGACGCATTGGACCGGAGATATCAGCCAGAGTTTACCGCTGCGTCACGGCCCAGAACCCCCAGCTGGTCCTGGATTAGTCTGCTTGCTTGAGATGGAGATAGAAGGATGAATCATGGTTTCCAATGACACTTGGTCACCACTTGGATGCGAATATGTTAATGTTTACAAGCTAAAAATACTTTTGATATCATGTTCACTGTCGAGGAAAGCACTATTTATACTGAACAGATTCAATGAAGAGAATATAATAATGTAATATATTTTGGAAAATAAACAATTCTATGACAGTATAATGTGCTCTGTATGATCCTGGTGTCTAGAAATAATCTGCAACAGAACTTTTCATTTTTCTTTTATTTTATAGAATTGCCTGAGTAAGAAAGTTCAATAACAAAAGCATAACTGTGAATAATAATTAAAAAAAACACACTGCTGAGTAGCAAATCATCTTATGAGCAAAAACACAAACACTGTTGATATTTGCTGATTGCAAAACACATTTACAAAAAGTCAGTTTCACAGTATCAAAAAGCAGCTTCTTTCCTCCTCGTGAGAAAACAAGTGCACTCCTTAACAAGTATTCCAGTATTATTCATTTCTTTTTTTTTTTTGGTCAGTCTAATTTGCTTATAGTGTTGGCTTTGCAAAGACAGCGACTGACATATTTTAACAATGAAACAATAAATCAGAACAAAACAAAGTGACTCTTATTAGTCAAGTGTTAGAAATTGGCTAAAATGAGAACGAGGGAAGCTGTCGCCCTAATTGCATTAAAAGTCTCACGCTACACACTCGCTTCTTTCTTCACATTCAGTGATTATTTGCTTGGATGATAAACGATAGAGAACCATCGATCCATTCAAACATTGGCTAAAAGATAAGATTGACATTGATGGCAAAGGGAGAACGGCCGTCATGTCCAGCGGCATCTTTTGCATTTGTAATCCTCAGGCTCGGAGCAGCAGCTATCGTAGTCGCTGCTGGGGGGAGTTGGAGGGCATTGGCAGGTGCTGGAATGAGTCTGAGGTGACATCTGGCAGGCGCAACAGTATGAGATGGTGTCAGGGAGCGGGCTGGTGCAGGGGCTGGGGGAGGCGCAGGCACTCAGGGTGGACACCGGGCTGGGGATGGGGCTGGGGCTCGAAGGCAGGCTCATCTCCTCCTGGAAGTCCTCGGGAAAGTGTTTCTGCTGCTCCGGGGTTTCAGGGCCACTGTTGAGGGTGAAGACCCAGCCCAGCTGAGTCTGGAGGAGGCTGTGCAGGCCCGGGGGCAGCTCCAGAGCCTCCAGCATGTCCGGGCAGCAGGGCAACGCTTGGCGCAGTCGGGCACAGCAGAGGTACTGCAGGGAGGTGGGAGTGAAGCAGGCACGGATCACCTTCATACTGCTCTTGGCTGCTGTGGAACAAACCATGGGGTAGAACTTCTTGTTCTGCAGCCTGGTGGCAGCGACACCTGTTAGCAGGAGAGGTGACACAACAAAAACCCTTCAGGGTAACTGGATTTTATTGCAGCCTACAAGACCAGCTTCAGTTGCAGTTCAACACACACCTATGCAGTGCCGATTCTTGTAGAAGGTCAGGGTGCCGTGCCATGTATCCAGGTGCATTCCTATGATCGAGCCTTGACCAAACCGAGGGGAAAACTTCACTTTGTCCCCTTTGTGCTGGAGCAGACCTTTAAAACACACACGTAGACATTTTTCTGTTGATTATCAAGGTCAACAAATCAACATAAACTGGAAAACGAGACACAAAATTCACATCAACCAATGGATGAACCTCCGGAAAGATCACATAAACATGGAACAAATCACAACACAACCCTAAAACCCAAACCCTGAAAAAGCTCGGGACACACACACACACACACACACACACTCTACAATCTGTACACACACCACGCAACATCTCATAGCCCCCCCATGCACCCTCAAAGCAATTCAGCACTTCCCCATGTAATGTTTTGCTGTGATTGTCTGCTTGTCCTTGTTGTTCAGTTTATTAATGAATTCTTGTATGTTCTTTTTACTTCATTTTATTTTGTTAACCACTCATATGCATTACTAATGGAAAAAAAAAGAACACATTTACACATTTTTGCATCAGCCAAAGCTCTTACCTGTGTAGGAGAGCCCCCAGCTGTCTTCATCGTGGCCCAGCAGGCTGCCAAAGTTGTATTTAAACTTCTCCAGGTTCATCTCTGAAGTTCCAATTCCCACCATCTACACCACAAACAACCACAATTAAAGAGAATTGTTGTAGTTCCTCACTTGATAGTAATTTGCTATAGCCCTTGACATCCATTTTTCACACAGAGATCAGACAAACTCTGATTGAAACCACTTTTCATGAACTGCTGTTATTTATCTGAGGGACTGTTACGCACCATATCGGTTCCATAGACGGGAGAAGTCATCTTAACTTCCCAGTAGTGCTGTCCGTCTGTGAGCTCCTTGGTGCCGCGGATGGCTGCAGTGCCGCAGCTGTAGTCGGAGTGAAAGCTCACCTTCCTGTTGTCGCAGCTGAGGAAGGCTCCAGAGGACTTACAGTGCTCGTCCCACACCCAGTCGAAACCTGAACACACACCATACAGGAACATTTAAACGAGATGGACAGTTGTGATTGCATTTGCCATTTTTTAAACTTTCACACATGCTAGAGGCACAGCGTGGCTTGTTCTGGTGATCAGTCCACCAGCTTGGTCTGAGGTGAAATATCTTAACAACTATTATGGAGTTACATGAAGTTTAATACAAACATTCTTGTCATACAGAGGATGAAGACTTTGGTGGTTCCGTGACTTTTCATCTACAGCCACTGTAAGGTTCATAAGGATGAATTCTAGTAATGTTGGTGGTGCCCCGACTTTCCATGTAATTCCATCAACAGATCAAAACATCAGGTTTAGACCAAATACCATCAGGAACTAGCAGCACCGCCATCAGCTCAGTTGTACTTTGTACTCTGTATTCATTAACAAATGTTAATGCATGGCAGCCTGAACGGTTTGAAACAATGCAATTAGCAAATCAAAGGCTAAGAACACAAGCTGCATGTCTGACCCACTGTTAACTGTTTTTACAAATTCATGCTTCTCTCCTTGTGTGGCAATCGTACTTCTGATAGTATCTCAGGGGATACTGTGCTCTCACTCAAAATTATTACAAAGTGAATATTGAACTTAACCCTCCTATTACCTTCAAATTTACTGACATCTTTTATCCTTGGGTTCAATTTTAAACCTCCAGAAAATATCATAATTAAAATTGTTACCTAAGTTTATGTGTAAATCGCCCTTTAAATAAAACTGAAAAAATTATGTTAGTGACCTATGTAGAGATGTTAAACATTGAATTACCCCAAAGATAATAGGAGGGTTAAGCTTGACTAAAATATATATGTATTGCAAATCAAATCACAAAATGATTATTTACTCAAATCATTCAGCCCTCGTACACAGTAAACATTACACCTGCTCATCATCAGCGTGTGAGCTCTGTCTGTGTGAGTGTCAGGATTTAGCTGGAATCACTGCTGTGTGTAACCTCACACTGGAGACTCTCAGTCTTAATATCCCCTTCGTATGTCTGTTACCAGGATACCTCATTAGACTTTAATTTATTACCCACTTCCACAGAATCAGTGGAACTTGTTTTTCAAGCATGGTTTAAAAAAAAAACAGGTATCAGTATCAACAGCATTCCCTGCAGACAGACTGAGACTTGATGTTTGCTGGGAAAAGCTTGTTCAGCTTGTTCAGCTGGTGGTGGAACAAATCGTGTCTTCACATGTGCAGCAAGCAGTTGTGGAAGAAGTATTCAGATCCTTTACTTAAGTAGAAGTACTATTATAGTAATGTGAAAATACTCCATTACAAGTAATAGTCCTGCATAAAAGGAAGATAACTATTATCAGCAAAATGTATTTAAAGTATTATGACTCTGCTTGATATATTATTGTTATTAGATTATTAATGCCGAAGCAACAGTGTGTCAGCGGCTTGTTACTGTTGAACTACAGTTTTATAAACAGGGAATAAATCTGAGAGGTCATCAGATGATTATTAAAAGAGAAAAGAAGTCAAACAAAGTTCTGATACACAGATCTGTTGTCAGGTTTTGGACTTTTTCTCTAATCTTTCATTTTTTTGGTGAGATATTGGCTTATTTGGACATTTAATGAAATAAAACAATGTCAGAAGTTTAAAGTTATTTTTGTTTTAAATCGTTGCTTGGTGGAGCTGTTAACAACTCATAGACATCTGAAATGTGACCAAAACACAAGAAATCAGAAATCACCAAAACAGCTGAAAACCACTGGTTTAATCTTCAATAGTGTTGTATTTAGTTTGATTATATTTAGTTTTGATTATCCACTGTGTGACCTCTTCATCATATGAAGCAACTTAAGCTGTGAAAACACAAAAGAGGAGAAAGTGCAATATTACTCTTTGACACGTAGTAGAATGGAAGTATAATGTATCATGAAATAACTTAAGTAAAGACCAAATGCCTCAAGATTGGAACTTGATAGAGTACTTGAGTAAATGTACTTAGTTACTTTCCACCATAAAATGTGTGTTTTGGATTACATTTGTATTTTTTGAGAGCTCACTCCTGTCAACTGGCAAACTGATAAATTGTTAATATTACTGAGCTATTGTCTTAGAAACACAATCAAAGTCTGATTAAGGAACTGTCATATTATTATCAAGGCCTTAAATTATTATAACGATCCTTGCAACCTCCACACTCCACTTGTATCCACCCTGCTGTGTTCATTAGGTGTATTACTGTATTCATCAGTTTGTGCTCACCCTGATCCTCCTCCCCGCACAGGCAGTCGCTGATGACACCGAAACCTGCGCTGAGCTCTTCCGGTCGGTCGCAGGAGCAGAAAGACTCCCCCGTCACCGGTACCGTGCCGGGCAGGGCCTCCAACTCGGAAACGGCCGGAGAACCGGTCAGGTAATCCACCTCAGGCTCCAAGTCACTGATCTGGTTGACACAAACAGCAACTTGTAAGTCCATGAACGTGGCCATGGTCCAGGGAGGTTGGCTCGGGAGCAGGGGAAGGAATTACTTCCAGTGAAGGAGCTTGAGGATTATATTTAATAATTTTTGCAATTCCACTGGCAGCTATGATGCCTTTTTGCCTTTGGTAAACTGCAGCCAGAGGAGAGTAATGGGTTGCCAAGCCTGGATTGAAAAGTCACAATTTGGCCATGCTGTGCCCTACAATGTAGAGAGCCGAATGAGAGCCCGTATGCCATGTTTCAACTAGATAGCCTCACCCCTAAAAGGTTCGTGTGTGTTATTGGTGAGAGAGGTCATGTGTAAGTAAGTAAAATTAGAAGCCTTCCAAAAATACTGGGCCTCCTGTCCTTGCCTTTGAAGAGCTGACCCGGTCTTGAACACAACCTTTTCAGACGCTGGACAGTCCCAGTGGAAAACTACTGGTAGAAATATTGTCCCAACACTGACAAAAACACTGGATTTAAACATTTCTTATTGGCCATCATATATCATGAACCATTCTATATCTATTTTATATGAATTCCCCATCTCCACTTCAGCTAGCAGTGTGCAACCCAGTTTCATCTTTTGTTGCACCTTACGAACCCCAGTACCTCACCTGTGGCCTCGTCTGTCCCTCCCACTCTTCCGTGTCTGATGTCTGGATCATTGCCATGACATCTGTCTCTTGCCGTGGTTCACTCCAGGCCAAATGCAGAGCCCGGCCATTCCTGCCTCTCCTCAGCATGGCGGCCCTGTGGACAGACAGCAAACCCAACACAAACACCGGATGACCAGGTGGCATATGTACAGGAGGCCGTTCACCCGTTTATTTATGTCAACTAAGGTCAGTGTTAAAGCCCTAGTTCACATCTGAGGTCAGATTCATTTTTGACACACTCTTAGCAGGTTATATTCAAGATAATTCACAACATGTCATCTCTGGAGACTTTATATAGTAAGGTTAAGGTGAAGACCTATAAATATTATATTATATTAGAGATAAACCTAACAAATCCATGCAATTTAAGGAAAACACACAAAATAACCTGCTGTTCTGGGCTGAAGAGGGTTTTCTGGTGATTAACAGCAGCCTGATTTAGCTAAATATGACTTAAGGTCTCAAACTAATTAAAATATGTTAAACCAGAAATAAGAGCAACTTGAATGTCTTATTTCTTTCTTTACAGTGGCAGCTTTTACAGGCTGACTGATGACTTTTATTGCGCAATGTATTTTGTTTTTTTTTTCCTCAGAAAGACACAAAAACATTCCTTGCATTTCCAACTTTCTGCTTAGAAAAGGTATGAGCTGCTTCACATTGCCGCCACGTTTCTCAGATGTCTCACGAACATGATTGACAACTGAAATTAGGTCAGTTAAAACCGTGAATAGCAAACAGTCACTGTAGCCATTCTGTCAGCTCAGCAGACTTCACTGACATTCATCACCAGCTCTTAGAGTTTGCATGAAGCTGCAAAACATCCTTGCAAGGAAACATTTGCAGCCACCTTTGTGTGTGAGCTTGCCTGTGTGTGTCTATCAGCCCCATATGCCACAGTTGGCAGCAGGGAGTGTTTCCACGCACTTGTTCCACCTTTAACCCAACCCTCTGCTCTGCCGCCGTGACAGCTCGTCTGTTAGATGGACACAGATAAGGTCGCCTGACCTGCTCACTGCAATGTGCACCAGCGATTTTAATACCTTATTCTGCTTTGATAGCATGTGACAGATGAAGTTGAGATTATTTTTTAGTGATTTCAGAGAAAAAGCAGCATTGTTAAGCTGGTTCTGTCATGAAACGCACTGTTACAAAGTTTACGTTCACTATCATGACTGTAAAGAACATTATTTTAGTTCTTAATTGGGCATTTTTGGGAACTCCACAACATTTTCTAGGCTTTATTACTGATATATTGACAAAAAATAGAACTGGCTGATATGCAAGCTTTTTAAAAATCCCTCTTTGTTGAACTGCTTCCCATTTTCACTGTCAGGAATCAGTGAAATTAATTGACTTGCTGTCAGTGTTTTGCTTTTCTGAAATGTGTCTCTGTTTAAAAAAGAAGAGAAGAAAAAGTCTCATAAAAGTTCAGAATACTAGAGATAATGTTGATTTACTCTGTACTGTACAGCTGACAGTTCAAGCCCTAAGCAGAGTCTTAATTTCCTGAACATGCTGCACCTCGACCTGATAACATGTCTTGTTAATACCAGAACTGAACACAGCAGCTGGTTGCTGCTTTGCAAGCAGGTGCAGGAGATGACTGCCATTAATTTAGATTAGTTAGTCTGGAGCTAGTCTTGTTTTAATTGGGCCTTACCCTACATACTGTAGCTGCATCATGAGTACCGAGCAGTCGAGGAACAAGTTTGTCAGCTGCTGTGTTGATGGATGTGATAATAATGCATTTGACTCTGAACTGTGAGATCAATATGAGTTACGATTATGAAATAAAAATGTTGAAAATCTCTCTGTTGTGAAATCAAATCACTTTTTTAGGGTCCGGCTCAGAGTTTCTGTTCTCATGCAACAGAATCTGATCCTCTGTTCACAACGTCAGTGCAGTAAGACCATCTGTAATTCTCACTGTGAGTCATTCTAGATTACATTATCTACTGGATATGTAAACCTCCCAGCAAGATCTGGTTGTATGATCAGCAAATACTCAACTGCAGTTTCACTTGAAGTTTGCTTTGTCATTACTATATACTAAAACACAACCACACACACGCTGTTTAACAAGACTACATCATTCTTAACAGGAACGGTGCTCTTACCTTACAGCAGTCTTCCTGTACACTGTCTTGCAGTGGCTCATTTCAATGCCAGTGTGTCTCTATATCCAACTGGGTGACAGGTGCAGTTTGCACTCTGTCCCACTTCCAGGCCACATAGACATAAACATTACCTCTCCACGCCTCCTTCCTGTGCTTATTGGATAAGAAGTTGCAGAGGAGGAGTTTATGTTAATTTGCTTAGTTACCTTTACCTACGTAGCTGGGGTAAATGGGATAATAACTGTGGCCTATTTCCAAATGAGGCATCACGTGAAGTGTGCTGACTTGTTAAAACAATGAGCTTTCATAGTGTGGTTGGTATTTGGTGATATTGTTCAGACCTAAAACACTGTAGATTTGATTTATTACATTTACTTTGACATCAGTATTTTCTTATTCTGCTTCCTATTATTTTGTTGAAGCAGGGTTCATAGTATTTAGAATTAGGATTTTGTAATAATCAGACAAACAGTATAATATTACATTGACCCATTTAAAGTAACAACTTTTGAGCCAAAGTGCTTTTCAGTTTGGAAATAAGAGGGGCACCACGAATTAACCTACCAAGTTTAAATATTGAGCTTAAGATCTTTATAACGATGTGGATTTACGTGAGCAATTTAAATACCAAGGATTAAAATGATATAAAATCCAATTATATATGACTAGAATAAATATTAAGGCTAGGTCTACAGTGGCACTAATCAGTCAGATTAAGTTGACTAATTTAGAACAAAAGCCTACCAAAAATACACATGAAAAACCGACATGTCTGAGGATTCCCTAAGAGCAAGTTTTATTTATTTATGTATCTATTAATTCATCTTTCACTTTTTAACTATCAATGTAAATATTAAACTGCTCAAAGACAAACGTTTGACGATTTGGGGTGCACCTGAATGCACCGTAATTCCTTCCGGCAGCCTATTGGTTGGTCTTCAAGAGGGGCGGGACCAACAGGCATCACGTGTTGTGTGATTGGTCGGTGGCGTGTGACGATCCCGGCAGTTGTTGATTCTTTTGCCGGGTGCATGTTGTAGCCCTGAATCCACAATATGGACCAAAATAACGGTAAGTCGAGGATACTGTCAACATTTTATTTTTTAAACAGAGGATTTGTTATTACTTGTAGCTTGTTCATTCTTACTGTATCTGTGTTTCTTCAAGCGAGGGGGTAGCAGCTGATAGTGAACTTAGCTAACTGGTTAGCAGAAGCTAACTGCTCAAGTTTTGAGGCATATTCAAGTGTGTCACCGGTTCAAACTGCTAATGTCTGCCAGAGATGCAAATATCCTTCATAACTGACCAAAAGGTTTTCCTATCCTCAGAGAAGCAAGAAAAATATATAACTTAGTTAACACTTACGCACTTATGGTGAACTTGTGACCTCGGCTGATGAAACTTGACCGTCGTCACTAACTGCGACACTGTTCTCCAAACCAGAGGCGTTTTCAGGATCTCGTCACATTGGGGGCTTCACCCGGGCCAGCAGTTTGGAGATTTTAACCTGATAATTGCGCAATTTTCAACATATTTCCGAATAAAAATAAATATAAGGTGTGAGACACTGCTCTAGGCAAAGTAAGCTCATCCTACTTTCTTTCTGTGCCATATTAACATCACAGAGTCCAGGCAGAGTGTTTAGTAACACACAGGCTCAAACTGTGAGCCTTGACATCACTCCTGTTTATGAGGATTTACAGCTATAGTTACATGTAAAAATGTGCCTTGGACATACTTGTTTCCTTAACTTTTCTTTCAGAGTAAATTTGGTGATCAACCTTTTAGATAGTCTAGGAGAAGAGATGCAGATGCTGGTGATGAGAAAACGTCCCATAACTCAATACCCCAAATAAATAACTGATAATAAACAGAGCAAATCTGCTCTATGTGTACAAAAACATTGTCTACAGTGTAATCCTGACTTATCTTACGATAAGACTTACAATGACAACAATAAAATGTGTTTTTATTGCTACTTGGCTGCTTGTGTAGTTATGGGATGGACCCGTACACATAATAAAGTCACTGCTGCAGTCCTGCTGTGAAACTGAAAAATCTCAGCAATAATTCACTTAACTTGACTGTAAAATTATTCCAAACCTTTTTTAGTCAACTTCATCACATTATTTTTTAGGAGCCTTAATTTGATTAGAATGTCAGGTAAACAGATGTAGAGATGTTGTTTTATTATTCCTAATTATGTTTAAAAACAACACAAACAAACAAACAAAAAACTATTTAGATCTGATGCCATAGCCTGTAGAAGCCAGGTCAAACAACACTACAGGTCAGAACCTTGCTTCTGATCCACTGCTCCACAAATCCACTACTTTTAAACTTTTTAGGCAGGTTTTCATGAATCTGTTGTGCTCATGGTGATGTAACCCATTTCTTTCTGTTCTATTTATATACAAAGAAGGAAACCTGTCCCATGTCCAGCGTGTTGTGCTGGTGCTGTCAGGGAAGGGCGGTGTGGGAAAGAGCACCATCACCACAGAGTTAGCTCTGGCTCTCCGGCACGCTGGAAAGAAGGTGAGCTCCATGATCGCATGTGCCACAGAACACAGTAGGGTGTCCATGTGTGCTGATATGCCATTATCCTATTAAAACATGGAGAGGCATTAGGAAATAGACTATACCTGATTATAATGCATGTATAAATGCATTACTTTCAAAAATATGTATTAAATAGTCACCGTGTTGCTTAGTCTTACACAGCTGCAGCAGTCACAGTCATTGTTACTATCAGCACTTATCAGATTTGTTACCCGCTGTACTAAGGCTGAACAAATAATATATTATTAGAATTCCAATGAAGTATTCACATTGCAAAAGCTGCAGTTTTCAATAAAGGTACCACTGTGCAAAAGGGACGCCATCGTTTTTACATTTGTTTAGTGAACGAGAAATGCAAAAATCGCCATTCCTTTTCTGTCGTTGCTTGTACTACAACTGCAACCCGTCAAAATAATCACGGTTTGATATTTTTGTGTATCATTTAGCTCTGCTCTGTCCACAATACCTGACTGTGTTCATGTGAATGTGTATAAATGGGCAGCATATACAAATATTTTAAACTGAATGAAAATATAAATACTAAAGGCAAATGGTGTTCTTTTCTGACTTAGAGGAAAAAGTAAAAATGTGATTTCTTGGTTAGAAAAGGGTTAAATGTAGCTGAACATGTAGGACAAAGTTGTTGCGCTGTTTGACTGGTGCCACATTTTCAACCACTGAATTAATAAACTAAAGGACA